AAGAAGAAGAAGGTCTACAACATGCTCTATGTTCTTTACAACTGTTACTAGCCAAGCTGATATTGGTACACGAGTTAGAACCGGGCTTGGCAGTGCAAGCTGCGGATTATACGTGCTAAAACACTAACAGACTAACAGCATCTTTTGCTGTCGGTAGCATACTTGGACATAGTCCACATACACCCCCCCCCACCCCACAGTAGAACTGCAAAGAAAAATACCTACGTTAGAAGAACGACGTTGTGGGAACAGATCGCTACGTCACAGATTCCAAAGTTTTATCTGCTTAATAGGTAGGTTTGAGAAGATTTTGATGTCGAACATTTTAAGTTCCGCATCAAGTCAAACTTTTTCGAAAGCAATTTTAAATAACTTGATAACGACTCCGAATAATATTACGGTTTTGATTGAGCAGATGGAACATTTGGTTTTTGATCCCATGGTCTTAGTTACTCAAAACGGCCAAAAATGTCAGGTAGAACTTTGTAATTCTGAGGTAGTGATATCGTTGGTAAGCTGCTCCAGTGTTCTCAGCCCAGAAAAGCGGTGCCATTCTTTTCATGGCTGTAAACCCAATACCGTTATCTTTTCTTGCTCTTTTCTGCATTTAGAATTTGAATTTTGACGAAATATTTCTCGAGCTCTTGCAACGGATAACACAGATGAAGACGCCATTTTTTATGATTTAAAACAATACAAATTTTGGGTTTAGTACAACTGAGCAGCTGGTCAATGATATAGATAAATGTTGTACACAAATAGGATTAATCATGATCTACCACCATTAGTAGGAGTGTAATAAATCGTTTAAACCATATTGATAACAGCTGGCGAAAAAGATCTGGACGAAGTTCAAATGACCAGGCAAGTAGACAAGTCTAACATTAGTTTCTAAAGATTAGACCTCATCCCCCCCCCCCCCCTCCACAAGAAAAAAAACACACCAACAAACAAACAAACTAATAAAAAACCCACCATGTTTACTTTGCCTCAAGGGAGGCGTTTTACTCACATAAAAACAAACATAGAACAAGGTAAACAAAACAAAAAAAGGTCGTCTCACTTGCATACTAAATCCACGGTGATTATTTGGAGAAAGGCATTGACACTCTCCGGGCTATGCATAAACGGCTCGACTTGCGCACGAACCGGAGCAACGCAGGCTCTCACGTGATCAGTGCACCCGTTTGCAGTCAGGGCAAAACCTGAAATACGCAACAGATTAATAAGGTGCAAAGTCGGAACTTTCTAAGACAACCACTCGTTGTAGAGGTATGACGTGGCCGTATTAGACAGGTCTTACACAGTGTCATTGTAATGTTTTTATAAAAGGTACCCAAGGTAGGAAAGGTAAACGTGCCCGTTTGCACAAGCTGTTGTCTTATATAGGTTGTCGTATTATGATTCGTGGTACGGTCAAGAGTCTGCACTTCATAGTTCTTGTTTAAAATTATGTTGATAAGGAAAAATATCTTCTGCGAGTAGGTATGAGAGAGACGTGCTCTTGTGTTTTTCTTTCTGTGTATTTCATTGGGAGTGGGAAGGGGGTTCTGTCTACCAAAACAACGATGTTCCATTAGCTCAGTTGGAAGGCTATCTCGGTTATTACTGAACCGAAATTTACCAAATTTAACACATATAACAAGCATAGTAAGGAATCTTAAAAACCGCAATCAAATTTGAGAAAAAAGTTTCGTTTCCACGGATACGGTGGCCATATTGGATTTTGTTGACATGGCTTACGTAATGAATACCGCACTTACTGCTCATGGAAATTGATTTTTTTTTTTCTTGCATGTTATTAAACATTAGATCTAAAAACTGGTCTGTTGTTTTTTTCTGTGTGAATTTTACTAAAAATTGTTGATTTAAGGAACAGGCAATTAAATTTGCGGTTTCTAAGGACTCTCAAGCTTTGAAAGATGCCGAATTTTGACAGCCTTTTCTCTCTAATTTTATCTCTGAAACCAAGTGATCCTCACTTGCTTAAATCACAGATATCTCGACTTCTATTCCTAATATATGAGTATTTTTTTCCATCGAAAGCAAGAAAAATGAGGAAGCTTTATAAAGGTACCAATAACTACGTGTCCAAAATTTGACGAGCGCCTGATTCTACCGTTTTGTGACCCATCTTTGTTTGAATCTTTCTGAAAATCGTTGATCAAAGAACAAAAAAAATAAACTTACAGTTGTCAAGAAATCTCAATCATCTTAAATTACCGAACTTTGGCTACCATTTTTCTCTTAATTTGTCTTGACACCAGCTGACTCCAACCTGTACAATCCCTTATAACTCTACTTTAATTCAAGACCGATGGGTGGGGTTTTTTTCCATCAAAAGCACAACAAATGAACGGGCTTTAAGCTTACAAGATGATACCAACAACTCCAAATGCCCCCAAAATTTACGAACAACACATTCTTAAGAGAGACTTTTCTCGTGGAAACTATCTCTTTTTCAGTAACTTACAAGAACCTGAGTATCATTTACAAAGTATAGAAAGGTAAAATAATAATCGCTCGTCCGTCAATGACTGACGACGGCCAATGCATCAACAGAGGAGAATATTTCTCCTGCGAAATAGAAAAAATTGAAGAATTAAAGGTTAAGCTAACTTGTTGCTTCTGCTGTGGCCGATGGGGAAAAATTCTGGTAGGGGAAAGTTTGCCACATTTTGCACGTTTAAAGGCTCCACTTCCACTTGCAGGCTTCTCTCTTGGTTTCAGGATTTCTTATTCATGAAGCCTTATAATGATGTGTTTACCAATGTGACTGCTGCTCTTCAGCTGAGACTGCCAGGGGCAAGGCTGTCCCATGCGGACGGATTTATGTTGAATTCTTCAGAGACATTTTCAGAGGGGTAAACTATACGTATGTAAAAAGTGCATGAAATTCTGACTGGTGCCATAAGTTCACCTCATCCATTGTAAGGATTTTTCCCGAGAGATTTTGTGGGCATTTTATAAAAATCTTCTGCTTTATAATGCTATATTTGACGATTTGATTTAATTTCAAGTCACCATATATATTATCAAGATAGATAATAATCATATTGGGCATGGCCTTTTCCATCACGTGCCATTTCTCTCAGACGCTTAAGGGTTAGCATTACAGGAACTTCTAGTTATCTGATGATTAGTAAGCGTTTCACGGCACCTGCGAATTAATAGGTCATATACGAGCCGTAGATTGGAAGTATTACAAGAGAGTAACAAACACGTTGTATCCCTCTCAGTCTGGGTTGGCTCTCACGGACAGGGTCGAGGGAGCCTGTTAAATTATTTAATTTGTGTTGATGGAGACATCTAGTATTAAAGAAAAAAAAGTGTGTACCAGCATCACCTTAACGCAACCAATCGAACTGAAGTAAAGGATTCATCGTTAAGCTGAAGTTGTAGTGGGCTTTTTTTATTATATGAAAAGACGTGAAAGATTAAGAAACGAACGATAAAACTGTTCTTACGGTAGAAATGAGTAGATTCTGATAAAGTGAGCGTTAAAAAAAAAGGCACCACAAGAACTGGTGCTCTTAAAGACTTCAGCACTCACACCATCCAATCTTTACTAACCTGCAACGAAGACAGCGACAACGACGGCTTGAGAAAGAGTCATCTTGCAGCTCCTTATCTTTTTACTTTCTAACGGGTCTGAAGAGAGGGCAAAATAGTTTCGATAATACACGAATATTTTATTCCAATACTTAACGAAATCGTTATCTGTTTTGTCTGTGTTAGTGTACCTGTGAAAGGGTAACTTGCTCTGATGCGCAAGGGAAATCTTGGCATATTTTGAGGAGCAACCATTTATTTCCGAACAAAAGCAAACCTATATTTTTTTTTAAAACGTAACTAAACAGCGAATTCCCCGTACAGAAAGCGGCCATTATATACCTGCAGTCTTTTTTGACTAATCTGTTGTTACGAGATTGAAATATCCCTTAAGGAGTATACTTCATCAACAGTTGTGTGCCTTATGTATATCTAAGATAAGATAAGATAAGATAAGATAAGATAAGATAAGATAAGATAAGATAAGATAAGATGAGATGAGATGAGATGAGATGAGATGAGATAAGATAAGATAAGATAAGATAAGATAAGATAAGATCAGATCAGATCAGATAAGATAAGATAACTTTTATTGTTCTGATCCCAGTACATTGGTTTCGGTTTTCACCACATACATACATACATCCAATGTTGAGATATCTACGCTCATATCGAGTAGTCACAATAATACACGTGAGAAAAAACAGGAAACAATGTCCACAAACCCAACAGTTTCAACAAGGTAAAATTGTTATTCTACTCTATTATTTTCTCTGTTGTTCATTTTACTTACTTTTGGAACCGTTCACCGTCCTCAATGACGAAACACAATTCTTTAGTTTATAAACTGGTTCTCTTTCTTTAAAAAAACTGACTGGGCAAGAGCTAAGAGGTAAAAGTGTGACGTTTTAGCGAAAGCGTGTGTATGTGCAAGTTGAAAATATGAGACTGTGTTGGGTTTTATACTATTTTCAATCGACTATAACTTCGCATTATAATTTTTTTTATAAATGGGGTAATATCCTGGCCCGTACAGCAATGCATGTTAACAAATCTTTCACTACATAACACTAAAAGATTAAAAGTAAACACAACACTTTAGCGTATCTCACTCACGGGACGACGCAGAAAAGGTCATTTGTCAGATCTGGACAATTTCCTCGTTATAACTACACAATGAGTCCCTGCAAGACTGAGGGTGACATTTTAGCACGTTGTGCTTGCTTGCTTACCGAAAGTATTATTTTGTATTTTTTAGAGGTTTATATTTCGAGTGATGATACATTTCAGTGATGTATAATTCACTAGATTTCATGTGATAGATATAGCGTAAGTTTTGGATTATCCCTTTGAAGTCAGTTATGATCACATTATATTTCATATTATAATATGTCGCCCGCTGTTCCTCAAGCACCCCTTAACCCATCCTCACCCCGACCCAATTTTCCAAGAAATATTATGTTTAAAAAAAACAACACTTTAAACTGTGTCCTACCAAGTCAATGGTGGACCAGCGTATTGCAACTGATACGTTTTGGCAGTTATTCGCAAACACAGGGAACAACTTTTTTCATCAAGGAGTGCAGATTTCGACTGAAAACAGACACATCACATGCAGTGGTTTACAATTGGTGGTACATTTCTTTAAATTTTGCCATTGGTTTTATCATTTCAAGAAAGAAACTGTACACACCCAAGCTATAATCTTGATGTATCTACCTGTGTTCATCAACTCCTTCTGTCAGCATTCCTCACATTTAACCTTTTCAGTGCTGTTTAATGTGCACGCTTACGCTCATTATAACTGGACCTTTGTCATCTTTTTCCTGGTACTTGTGGACCTTTTAGAAGAAGTAGTAACGACATGTATTGTTGTTTATTCAAGAAAAAGGGGAAATATACAATCTCGAATGAATAACATCCTCTTAGCTGTACGACTCAGCAAAGAAGGGGTTAAAAACAGGTGTGGTTACAGATTCATGCGGAATGTTTTCGCTGACTTCATCCCAGATGTCCCATCATGCTTTACATAAAAAAGGAAGATTCCCGGTGCGCAGAATAGTATGCGACTGCAGTGTGTGACGTCAATCGTTTTCAGAAAATCTATTGGCAATGACGTCATAAAGTAGTGTAGTAAGAACTTTTGGGATTTAAATTATGAGGCCCAATTGATAGCAAGCGCAGCTCATCAATGGTTTAGCTTTGCAATATTGATACGGGCTTCTTCTTCTTCTTCTTCTTCTTCTTCTTCTTCTTCTTCTTCTTCTTCTTCTTCCACCTCATCTTCCTCCTCATCTGCCTTCGCCTCCTCTTCCTCCTCATCTGCCTTCGCTCCCGCGTCCTTTGCCTATGTTTTTCTGCTTGTTTTATTAACCCTGATCTCCAAAAAGTATGTATTTGCCTGTGTGGGCAACTTTAAAAAATGGCAAATTTAATGAGAAACAGGAAGTATGGGCATAAATATAGCCATTTAACTTTAAAGGTCAGCGGAAATCGCGTTTTCAAGAATACATTAGAATACTGTCCAATAGAGAGAACTCAAAGAGAGCATGCGCAATTGCGGTGGATATATAGATGAAACAGAGAGAGAAAATAAAAGACATAGCGAGAGAGAGAGAGAGAGAGAGAGAGAGAGAGAGAGAGAGAGAGAGAGAGAGAGACAGACAGACAGACAGACAGACAGACAGACAGACAGACAGACAGACAGACAGACAGACAGACAGACAGAGGCACAGAGAGGGGGGGAAGATAGATAAATAGATAAGTACAGAGAGAGAGAGAGAGGGGGGGAGGGAGAGAGAGAGAAAGAGAGAGAGAGAGAGAGAGAGAGAGAGAGAGAGAGAGAGAGAGAGAGAGAGTGCGAAAGCGAGACATGAAAATACCTGTAGATTTTTTACGGCCTATTCGACACAACCTAGGTATGCCTTATTTCGCTTATTTAAAAAACCCAGAAAAGTTTCCGCAACTATAAGTATACCACGGAGCGCTCACACTGCGCTCTTTGGTTTGTCGTCAGAGTAACAGAGATTCGCTGACTGGCTCAGAACTGCATTGAAGATATTAATTTATGACATCTTCTTCATGATATCCGTTTTCTATTAAACTATAAAAATATACAAAAAGTGGTATTTATTATGTGTCTCAGCATCACCTGCAATATAAATCCGTACTATGTGCATACACACACACACACGTACACACACACGCACACACACACACACACACACACACACACACACACACACGCGCACATATGTACTTGCGCACACGCACACACACACGCACACTGCCACACGTACCCTTACGCGCCCGTGCACATACACTTAAACATATTCTTCAATGTGGCAGCATTGAATGGAGTGCCAGTCTTTGGGAGCTATGATGCCCAGTGTTTCTGAAAGTGCTATAATTTCTTTTCACTTTATGCCCACCTAGTAAAAAGAAACGACGTTCTGAAATCATGTTTATTAACCTGTACACACTAATGAATATAATTTATGATCCATGGAAGAGATTATCGTCTTCAAAGATTTCGTTTTCATTTCTTTTTAAAGATTTCAACTTCACACAGAGGCAAGACACTGATTTCACTCCTTTTCTAATACCTATAACATCATTACTTCGATCCTTCAAAAGAACTGAGAATCTGAAATTATAAATTTTGTTTTTACCCTGAATGGTGTATTTTATAATAAATACTTTTGGGACTCTTAGTTTGGTTTTAAACTATTACAATTAAAATACCCCCATGGGGCGGTGCTACTGACTGAAGTGTCTTTAGGTCATTCCAAAAGGGGGGCAATTAACATCTCGAATTTTATGCACAGTAGAATTGTAGATTTTTTAAATGGGCAGATTCATAAATGTCATGCTGATAACTGTGCCTGAAGTACAACAGGGAACTGCTGCTTTTTCTTTCATAATCCTTACTATCGTCATTTTTCTTCTGCTTCTTTTGAATGTTTGTCACACTCTTGTGACCCGCTATTTCCGCAGTGCCTTGATAGTCGAAGCAGGATTTTGTGCCGTTGAAGCTAGAGAGGTCAGCAGAGTTGCCTAATTCCCTGTTAGGACTACAATCTCTCTTGACATCCACCCCTTGGCGCACATATGACGGTATGGAGTTGCGAGCGCCGTAAAACTTCAACTAAAACTAAAGTATTATAATAGAAAGAGAAAAGAAGGGCTATAAACATAAAGGACGTCGATTGGCCACATCTCTGTATCATTTGTTATGCCCATTAGTGTAATTGCACCATTATAGTGGTCTCCTTCTCGTGGACAATGGGTCTATTATCTTTGCTTGAGTACTTTTGTAATTTTGCAATTCAGGACTAGGTTTGCGGACTCTGTCTGACTGTCTTTTTGTCTGTTCTATCAGTCTGTACTTCTGTCGGTCTGTCTGGTTTGTACTGTCTGTCTGTGTGACTCTCTGTCAGTCAGCTCACCCTGTCATCCCTTCCCCTTCGTGTTCTCTATCTTCCATTCCTTTCTCTCTTTCACACACACACACTCTCTCTCTCTCTCTCTCTCTCTCTCTCTCTCTCTCTCTCTCTCTCTCTCTCTCTCTCACCATCTCTCTCTTTCTCTTCTCCCTCTCTCTTATTCTCTCCCTTATTCTCTCTCTCTCTTATTCTCTCTCTCATTTCTCTCTCTCTCTTTCACTCCCCCATTATCTCTCCCTCCCTCCCCCCCCCTCTCTCTCTCTCTCTCTCTCTCTCTCTCTCTCTCTCTCTCTCTCTCTCTCTTCATCACAAGTATTCCCTTCAACTCTAGTCATTATGGTTGTGAAGTGATGTGTCAGGAAGCACCCTTTCATACTCGGGTTCAGATCAGAAAAATCCCACTGTGCTTCCGTTGCCATCATTTCTCTACCAATTACCCTGAAGTACTTTACAGAGACCATCATTTTGGAACCAGACCGTCATGATGAAGTTAGAGATAGGAACCGAAATTAGGTTATGTAGAGCACGGAAGTGAACGGAGTGCGAAAACCTAAAGGGTGAACTACTGTTGATCCTGTCCAAGACAACCACCCAAGGTCCAGGAGAGTGGGTGGTTGGCTGGTGCTCTGGTGCGGTTTGCTCCTTCTTTCCTATTAAAAATGTTTATCGTCTCAATCTCCCCTCCGTCTTTTTGGTATTTGTTACTCTTTTGTAAGACCTCTAATCTTCGGCACATATACGACCATAATATTATGCTGCAAGTGTCAAAAGACTCTTACTAAAAAAGAAACAACAACTAAAAGATCCAGGAGAGAGTAGTCATCCTTGACAGGTTTGTCCTCTTGGACTGTAAGATTATTTATTTTATTTTTTTCTGGGGGATAGGGGCCGGGAGTGGTCGTTAGTACAGAAGGAGGGATCTTTTTAGCAGATTAAATTGTATTTTCAGACCAAGTTAGAAAGTAACCAATGAAAAAACAAAACTTATTCAGAACGTTATCCGATGTCGACCTCTGATAACAAAAACTATTAGGAACGGGCAATTGCTGTCGTTTCTGGGACTCTTGGTTTGACATAGAGGCCTTGGTCATTTCTCTCACTGGTAATACTGAAGGCAATAAATAAAGTAAAACTATTTTTTCTGCAAAAATAGGATGAGAACATAACCTAGAGATAGATTTGCTGTCCAATTAGCTTGGTATCTTTCTTAATATTTTGGATGTATTTTTATACCCATGAGGAAAAAAAATGTATAAAGATTTAGATTTCAAGTAATTTGAGACAGCACAGCTAACTTTGGGTTATCTTTTACAATTCGGTTATGGTCATTCTTAAGAGGTCTCAAGAAGTTATAGATCTAGGTTATTTTTTTAAAATCCGACATTCAGCATTCTTAAAAATCCTTAGGTTTTTGTTTTAACAGAAGCTCAAAATTTCTTTAAAACTGATAGCGTCCGATACTCAGAATTTTCTAAGAAGCGTAATAGGTTTTAAATGATACTCAGCGTTACTTAAGAAATCATAGGTCATAAAAAGGACAAAATATACTCGTTATTCCGGCTAGCATAGTGACAACTTATTCTTAAACTAGCTGGGCCCCCTTTCGATGAAAGGGATAACATCAATTGAAAGTCATTGGCCTACAATATTTACACTTTACTGGAATGGATCAATAAATCTTGAGAGATACAAAAACTTAGAAGATCTAGATCTAAACTCTCAAAACAAAATGCGCCTCGCGAAATATCACTTCCGGCACCTCCCTTTGTGAAGGACAGCTACGCAGATTTGTTCCGTTTCTCAGTGGAATGATCACAAAGGCCAAAGAAGGACGGGGACTTTTTGTCAAATATATTTTTCTTAATTCAAAAACTGAACAAATCAAAAATCGGCCTCCGTCATGGGGATATATCTACCTTTTTGCAGGTACTAGCCAACGTTCAACTCTGTAGTTGTCGTAGTTTTATGGCGAAAGTGACACAATAAAAAATATATGTTTCCAAGTTGCCAAATATATAATAGATTTGCTGCTGACCTCGAACGCTAAGTTTAAAAGTTTCCTAAAGTAAGGCTTGGACGGCTGTTGGCATGTACGTCTGTTTTCATGGATTAAGACGCAGTTAAATTGTAGTAAAATCAGGCGGTCGTCAAAATAATGAAATCAGGGAAGTTGACATTTTTTCTGCATTTTGAGCAATTTTCATAGATTCTTTTGTTTAGGTTTGGGCTCAGAACCTGTTATGCCCACATAAATCACATTCCTGTGAGGATGCTTCACAGAAAAACAGTGAACAAAAGCATTTAAAAAATTTAAATTATGTAAAGCTGCAGTTTCGAAGGACACTTAAGCTTTGGAAGAAACCAAACCTTGGCGGTCATTTTCTAGCTAGGCGACCCCGACTACCTCCAATGGCAAATATCTCAACTTAATTCAAGGTATATAGTAATATTTTTTTCATTAAAAGCAAGGCAAACGAACAGGCTTTAAGATGATACCAATGACTTCCTATGCCCCCAAACTGACGAACATTCATTTTGTGTCCACTCCGTTGTAACTCAATTATTGTCACCATCTCATCAATTCTGACACACATACCTATACCTTTAACTCCTCAACATAATAATTAATATTTTCCCACGTTAGTGTGCTGTTGATAACATGATCTTTTTTTTATACACTCCCCACAATCCCTGTCCCATGTTTCCTTTCCACTCGTGCTCCTTCTCTCTCCCTCCCTCCCTCTCTCTCTCTCTCTCTCTCTCTCTCTCTCTCTCTCTCTCTCTCTCTCTCCCTCTCTCTCTCTCCTCTCCTCCTCCAACATTTCGTTCTAATCTTCTTTATCATGTTTCTTTTCTTGTACATCTTTTTCGTAACTTCTACTCTTATGTTCATACTGTAATGTGAAAAGTCTACGATGGTGGTATGTATGCATAACTGCTTGTGCGTTAACATTAATCCAAAAGCGTAGTTTTGCACGTTATATTTTCACATGCATTTATTTATGTTAGGATGGAGGAATTGTAAAGGTGCTTTGAGTTTGTACAAACCCTTTTTCTGTATTCTTCTTCCTCGGTTCTTTTTTGTTCTATTTGCCAGTAATAATAGTAATAATAATAATGATGATAATAATAATAATTTGAAAAATAAAAATAATAATAGACAGAATTTGTATAGCGCAATTTCCCGCTCAACAGCAAGCTCTATGCGCTTCATAATCAATACTATTACCCCAGCAGACCTGAGAGCATTCTGAAACAAACTCAACTTCCTAAGAAGCATACAGTGCAAGCAGCCATTTATAGGCGCTAACACACTAATACACTGACAAGATCTTTCGCTGTCTATGGCCGGGTTCCCATTTCCACCTGGGTGAAGTGAGGAAAATTGGTGTAAAGTGTCTTTCCCAAGGACACAACGTCGGGCCCGCGGCTCGAACCCCCGACCCCGCAACCTCACGATTACGAGTCCAGTAGCCCGTGTGTGAGGTTAGTATACATCTGTTTCACAGGTGCCCAAATAATCTACTAAAATATGATTCAGATAAGAATTGTCAAAAAAGGTTACGTGGGCATATTTTCAAAGTTCGGAAACTACCTCTTGATTTTTTCATGTTTGATGGTTTTTCCTGTAAATCGAAGCTCTCAGGTGTTCTCACTCCGTCATTTGCCATTTCATATTTTATTGGGGACTACTTCCGTTTCGGATTGTGCTTCGTCGTGAGTGTGAGACAGCTACTTCTACTATTTCCAGATCTAGCATCTCGATATCCAACTCTGTTTGGATGTGTGCTTTGCAGTGTCGATGGGTACTTCAGGCCAAACTTCATTGTATTGACTTTTTCTAGACATATTTGGTGTAGTCATGTCCTCAACACATTGCGTTTTTTAAACCCACAGATTGTTTACTTCGTTGTTTTGACGTTTCAAAATTTGTCGCGTATTTGGTGTGTAGTTTTTTGGGTTGTTTTTTTATAGAGCAAGACTTTAAATTTAGGTCTCTCTCAGATGTAGACTATTTGAAGAAGAGACTTCAAGTCGGTTTGGAGCAGTTAGCATGCAAAAACAGAAGTGCGGTTTGTGCTTTGTCGTGTGTGTGTCACGGAGTTTTACTTCGTATTTTTACAAATCTGCTTCCACTGTTTCCAGATCTAGAATCTTGCTATTTAGCTCTGTTTGAATGTTAGCTCCGCAGTGTCAATGGGTACTTCAGGTCAAACGTTATATCTTGGGAATTTCATATCACTATATAACCGTTTTTTAGGACGAGTCTGTTTCTTTTTGTAATAATAATAATGATAATAATATAATAATAATAATAATGATAATAATAATAATAATATAAATAATTGCATAGTACACCCTTATAGTGGCATCCCCTCTCCAAATTACTGTTATCGTCTTCCCATTCCCTTTTTAAATAATTGATTAGCATGTCTGTGTCCAAACATCGAAGATCAGGTGAGAATGGGAACTTAAAACGTTGGCTTTACAAATTTACAACCATTTACAACGAGTCACAGCTGTAACTATCTTTACAGGGTATCTAAAATCGTGTTTATTTGGAAATCAAAAGATTTTTTTACAGCGATATCTATTATCTATTTGTGGTGGCCGAATTTTGCTATTCAAAAGGCTTTTTAATGGCTGCATCGACCGACATGCAATTTTCGCCAGAATATTCTTTAAAATATTCTCCAGATCATGACGCTCTTGTTTTATTTTCAGTTTTGAGACCGTTTTGCTGAAAAAAACTTTTTTTTAAATTTCGCCGATCGGTTTTGTAGGCCGACGCTTCTGTCTCTGTAATTTTAAAAAACCCGAAAGTGATATTTCGCGTGGCGCATTTTGTTTTGAGAGTATAGATCTAGATCTTCTAGTTTTTAGCATATCTCAAGATTTATTGCCCCATTCCAGTAGAGTGTAAATATAGTAGGCCAATGACTTTTAGTTGATGTTAAAGCACCGATCATTCCTTTCATTGAAAGGGGGCACAGCTAGTAAAAATGTAAAGTCCTGAAAAACTAGGTACTCACGCTGAGGAAACAAATCTTAATATATTCTACAAACACATGCATTTCCTACAGCTTAACACGGAAAATGTGATAAACGCATCAAAGCTGAAGAACTCAAGAGGTTGCTACAGGTGCCAAGTGTTTAAAAGTGAACAAAAAAACTGGATTTGGAGGAGAATCTGAACTACAAATTATCATTTTTACTCGGTACCTTCAGAACATCAAATATTAAATGGTATATCCCATTAAGAGACCAGAGGAAAGACAAAAATCGATACAGAAAAAGCTTTATTTTTCTCATGTTGAGAACAACTTACTTGTACAGAAATGGTGTCGTTTAACAGTGGGACTTGTGTCGACGAAATCCTGTCAGCGAACTTCCAAGACATTAGTATATCAAGTAATAGTTCCAGAAACCGACACAAACCATAACAGATAGCATTTGTATCGCAGTGCATGGCTCTGCTGAACTACAAGCTCCAGACGCTTTACAATCAAGACTACTACCAGAAAACTGTAGAACACCCAGGAAGCCAACAGTACAGACAGTCGCTTAAATGCTCAAAATCTAACATACCAATTTTCTCAGTCTATGATCGGGTACCTATTTAGGATAAATCAATGAACAACAACTGCATGAAAGTGAGTTGCTACATGTCATTGTATTTGAATATCAATTGTAGTTGTACTGAATTACAATGTAGGAGACCGTGGTGCGAACTCCCCAATAGTGTGTAACTGAAATTTGACTGTAATAAAAGGTTTTGTAGCTCTCCACATGCCAAATGACGTCCAAGAGAAAGTAGACGTTAAATGTGAGGCAGCGTGGTGGAATCAGGCTCTCGTCAAAATAATCAAAGTGAAGAAACCTGTATTTTTCCGCAGGTTTGTTAACTGTTATCAAATTTTTGTTTTTTGGCTCAACACCTTTCATGCTCATTAAAGAACACATTTCTGTGTGGATTTTTCTGAAAAACGTTGATTAAAGGCACAAAAATGTAGCTTTTCAGTTACCACGGACTCTTAAGCTAAGGAGATAACTAATCTTTGGCGGCAATTTTCTCACTAATTTTACTTCTGAAAACAGGTGACCCCCACCTCTTTCATTCGCAAATATCTCGACTTGTATTCAAGATAAATGGATATTTTTTCATCCAAATAAAGACAAGTGCACAAGCTTTAAGATGATACCAATACCTCAACATGCCCAAAAATTGACGACAGCCTGATTCCATCACGCAGCCTCACAAATTCTTGTGCCCCCGACTTCTTAATAAACTATTTATAGGTAAAAATAATAATATGTACCACTCCAAACTAAACTCACATAAATGTTTCCCCAAACTGATGCATCCCATGGCCCCCTCCTTAAAAAACAACAGCAACAAACAAACAAACAAACAAACAAACAAACAGACAAACAAACAAACAAACGAACATCTCTTGCAGCCACAGCCCCACTGTGATAAACATGATGTGAAATACAATGGTGTACTTTACTTTCTTTTCTATGGCAAGAAGAGAAGAATAAATTCTTATGGTTTTCTAATCACTTTATTGTTTGACATTATATTATAGTAAAATGGGGGAATTCCACACCATACTTTTCAATTGGATTGTGAGACAAGTGTTGTAGAAGCTACTTTATGTAGAAAGATGACACATCCTCCTCAACAGTTTAACTTTGGGTCTGATAAGTTAAGAAACAAAACATTAATATGAATTCTATGATATCACCACCCTCATACTTCCATTGTTCAACTTAATGAAAAGTTTAATATTGGGGGGCAATTCCACATCAACATGAGCACACATGCCAAAATGAAAATAAAAAGACAGCCATACAAGAAATTAAAGCTAATTTGAAAAATAAAACAAAGCAGACAGAAGCAAAATTATTAAAGCTGAATGTCAAACAGATTCCTGTTGGTTCTAAGGGCTGTAAGTGCGAGTGTGGAATTTCCCCACCTTCCCATACTATTGTTTTTCTCTCTTTCTTATCCAATTCCGACCAATCAGCCAGCGTGTGCATCAGTGTAGGATTTATCCGAGTATCCTTTCCTTGTACTGTCCAAGGAGACTCCAAAGAGTTCGCCTGGCAAATGTACCTGTTCGAAAAGAATAGATAAACGAGTGGCATCATGGTGAAATGAGTCGCTGGTCAATATAATGAAATTAAGAAAATTGATTTTGACCGACAACTTTTAATGCCTTTGGGGGGGGGGGGGTTCTAGAACTTGTATCGAATATTTTGTTTTGTTTTGGGCTCTACACCTTTTATGCCCACATAAATACACAGTCCTGCTTGAATTTTACTGAATATCTTGATCAAAGGCACAAAATAAAAAGTAAATTGGCAGTTTCCAAGAACACTGTTGCTTTGGAATCACCAAAGTTGTGGAGCTATTTCTCGTTAATTTACCTAGGACTCCACCAACCAAAAAAGTATGAAAGAAAGAAATAAAAGAAAGAAAGAAAGAAAGAAAGACAGAAAGAAAGAGATGGAAAGAAAGAAAGAAAGAAAGAAAGAAAAATAAATACAGTTTGATTTTTTTAACTCGCTCAATCCGAAATATTTTGCCTTCATCTTCATCTTCACTTTCACTTTCATCTTCATCTTCACTTTCACTTTCATCTTCACTTTCATCTTCATCTTCACTTTCACTTTCATCTTCACTTTCATCTTCATCTTCACTTTCACTTTCATCTTCATCTTCCGATGGCTTGACTGACCGCGGGCACCACTTCAGATTTTGCAAACAACTTCTTCAACTCTTGCATATGCTCAGGGGTCTGTAGTAAACAAGTTAGATGATTGTTCCTTTAGCTTTTAAAGATGAACAATTACATTTTCCTGAGAATTTGCTCGCCCCTTTTCATTGGCACGATGGATTAAAGAGATTATTATCTTCTTTTTCTTCTTCTTTTTCTTCTTCTTCTTCTTCTTCTTCTTCTTCTTCTTCTTCTTCTTCTTCTTCTTTTTCTTCTTCTTCTTCTTCTTCTTCTTCTTCTTCTTCTTCTTCTTCTTCTTCTTCTTCTTCTTCTTCTTCTTCTTCTTCTTCTCCTTCTTGTACAATGTTGCCAATAGCTGTTGTTCTTGCTAGCAATTTTTTCTTTTTCTTTTGATTTTAGAAATAATGTTAATAATAAAATAAAATAAAGGGAAAATGTCGAACAACTAATGATGGAAAGACTGATGATGATAACGATTTTAATGGAGGAAGCATACGTAGTGAAATCTTGAGTCGGTTTAATAAATAGGAATTTTGAAAAAAAAAATATTTGTTTTTTCTGTCTAAAACCAAGATTCTTTCTAACGACCCGGTACTTTAAACAATGATGATGATGATGATGATGATGATGATGATGATGATGATGATGATGATGATGATGATGATCATGATGATCATGATGATGAGGTGGAGGAGAAGGAGGAGGAGGAGGATGATAATGATGAGAATGAGGAGGAGGAGGAGAAGGAGGATGGTGATATTGAAGATGATGATGATGATGATGATGATGATGATGATGATGATGATGAGGATGATGATGATGATGTATTAAATTTTTTAATTCTACAAGTCTCAACCTTTTTTATTCCTTGCTCTTTACAATGATGTTGATGATGACGATGATGAGAATGATGATGATGATGATGATGATGGTGAACTTACTCTCTCGACGTCGACGTTCCACACAGTCTACTCCATATTGTGAAGGCCCCATAACTGCAACAATATTGTCCATCAACTGCCCAAACGTAGCTCCACACACACTGATAATGTTTGTCGTCATGCAATTTTCCATCTCTTCTATGATTCTGTTGAAAGAGAAGAAAAAAAAGCTGTATGTGAATAGTAGGAGCTGAGGTTAATCTGATACATGTCGCGCACTACGACAAAACTGGTGGCAATCATGATTTTGTGGGTGAGGGGTAGACAATACTACTACTACTACTACTACTACTACTACTACTACTACTACTACTACTACTGCTACTACGACTACTACTACTATGACTACTACTACTACTACTACTACTACTACTACTACAACTACTAATAACAATATTACCAATGATAATAATAATGATAACAATAACAATAATAACAAAAATAATAATAATAATAATAATAATAATAATAATAACAATAATAACAATAATAATAACAATAATATTAATAATAATAATAATAATAATAATAATAATAATAATAATTATAATTATAATTATAATTATATTAATAATAATAACAAATAACATTTATCCAGCGAATTTCCTTTTAAAAAATGCTCAATGCCCATTACGTCTACAGCAATGAAGATATTGCATTTTAAAAACTAAAGAACACGTGTGTACATAAAACATAGTGCAGTGTTAATGTATATCTAATGAACAATTTTCTATGAGAAAAATAGTCACGTAGTGAGCTTTGCAATGTGTTCAGGAAAAGGAAATATAGAATGCAATAAAAACTCACATACGGTCAC